AACAAGAAAAAAACTGAAGATGTAAAGTGGAACAAACATGAAAAAGAATGAAGGGTAGGGACAGGGAAATAAAGGAGACAGCCCAGAAGGACAAGAAAGAGGAGATAAAGGGGGAGGGAAGAAACTAAAGATGAGGTGGGGAAGGAGAGAAAAACAATGGGGAAACAGAGGAGGAAAGAAGTGAGAAGAAGGGAAGGGGAGGCCGTGCTGGCCTGGGTCCCTCCCCAGCTTTACCCACTCGGTCCCAGCCCTGCCTCCATCTCAGCCAGTTCTGTGCCCAGAGCCAAGCCCTGGCATTTGCCCCCATCAGCCTAACTCCCGCCCAATCCAAGCCCCAGGCCAGCTCCTTCTCCCTCCAGGCTGAATGAGGGGGTCCCTACCCCAAGCCCAGAGTGACTGGTGGGCTCCCTGCACCCCAAGCCTGGGCCCCACAAGCCATAAATCACAAGTGGAGGTTCTGGGGTTCCGGCCTGTTGTTTCGGGATCCCTGGAGTCTCCCGGGCCAGGGAGCAGTTTCTGTCTGTGCTGACTCCACAGACAGGATCAAAACAGCATGAAAGAAATCAGAGCGAGAACGTCGTCGGCAGGAGCTGGACTTCTAAAACCCCCTTCCGCCCCCATAGGCTTCAATATTAAAAAACCCCCTAGGAGCCTCAGACACTGTATTAATTAGTGCAACCACCCATGAAAAGTTGGGTTTGGAGCGGCATTCTTTGCCCTGTGTGAAAAACCAAGTCTAATAAACAATTGTTAAGTTGGCCTGTTGCCGCTGGTAAATTACATAGCATTAAAAAAATAATGCTTTTCATATTAGGCACTAATTAAAGGTTGGGACAGCTTTAAAACAAGAGAGGGAGGGGGGAAATCAAAGAAAATATAAAAATGTTCTTTCAAGAGTTATGGGAGGTTAATAAAGTATGTCTGTTAGAGTGAGCCTACTTTGCCCCTAGCTACAGCCATGCTGGAGCCACCACAATTGGGTCTCAATAAGATAATGATATTCCTTTCTCTGCTATTAAAAGCCTCCCAGTGCAAACTTAAAATGATTTATTTAATTTAGGAAATTATGAGGTGTAACTTCAAAGCTTGAGCCGTTAGTAATGGAAAATACCAGGTTGTTTAAAATTATAATAATAATTGTTTGGAGGACTCAGGACATCAAAGTGTTTTCATCAACAAATGCAGAGGGGTCCGGAGGAGGTTGGAAAGAGTCAGGGGAGGTGGATGGAGTTTGGATTTGATTATTACGAACCTTATCAAGGCAGGACTCAGGATTCCCGAAGCCTGGTCCTCTGTTCCGCTTTGAAGCGGGCTATTTTGAAAGTAATTTTAACTGCTTTTTATTTGGTTTCTAGCAAGGAGGAGGGGAGGAGGGGGCAGCTGGGAGGTTGGGGGTGGGAGAGGGGTAGAAGGGTCCAGGAGTTGACAGCAGACTTTTCTTCACCGCTCTCTGACCAATTTCATTAAAGAGGCCTACAGCATCACCAATCTGGAAATGTTTTGTTTTGTTTTGTTTTGTTTTTCTTACAGTGAAGGAGGACACAGGCGCAATCAACTTCACCAACTGGGCCCTGTGCTTTCGGGGAGGGTGTGTGTGTGTGTGTGTGTGACGTGGGTTCTTTTATAAATGAGGTTTATGTTTATTCCAAACGCAGCAGCGGAGAGGGAGTGGGGGTGGGGGAATGGCTCTCCAACCCGTGGCAAATGAGCGGCTTTTATAGGGAAGAATGGCCGTGGGAGTTTTCATTCGGTCAGACAAGGTTCTGCTCAAAGGCAAGGATCCTCTTTTCAGTCAGGTCAGGCAGACGTTTTGCCAGTGCCTGCTCTCAGCCAGCCGGTCCTTCGCTGCCTACCTCCTGCGGGCCCTGCCCAGGCGCTGTCTCCGCAGGGCTGCCGTGGGGGAGCAGGGTGAGGCTGAGACCCAGGTCCCCAGTGATGGAGAAGCAGGCACTCAGTGGCAAGGCTCCCCCCCTCCACTTCGTCCAAGTGAGGTGGGGAAGGGGATGAGAGATGCTGCAGAGATGGGCTCTCAGGGTTTGGAAATCTGGGGAGCTCTAGAGACCCCTACATCACGTCTAAGACAGCTCCCCCAGGGCTTGCCAGCCCTCATGCCCCCCACCAGGCTCCCGCTTAGGCCTGAATTTTGCTGCTGCCCCTTACTGGCTCTGTGACCCTCCTGAGCAACCCCTCTGAGACTCAGTTTCCGGGACTATAAGATGGCATCAACGACATCTCCCCCAGGGGTGTGCAAGGATTAAATGAGATGTTCGAGAAAATGCCTACTTCTGGCCACACTGAGCAGGAGCTCAAAGAAATGTGATTTCTTCTCCTTTCTTCCCCTCTTTCCCTAAAGTAGTGCTGTCTTTCTAGAAAAGTTTGGTGGAAAGCCTTGAACTTATGGGAGGACGCGCGGATGGGTGTGCCAGGCTACTGGCCACCTGGGCGAGGATGTCCAAGGTCAGCAGCCTACTGGCATCTTGGGCTTTCATTCTGCAGGCATGACTGCGCGGTTCCTGGGTGAGTCTGGTCTTCCCACTGCCCCAGCTTGTTTGGTTCGGTCTCTGGAACTTCTGTAACACCCGGCACACCAAGCCTGACTAAGGTGGGGACTCTGGCAATGGCCGACTCAAAAGCCGGGCAGAAGTCTTGGAGGGAGCACCAGAGCCAGGCCCGCCGCAGCGGAGCCCGGGGACCTGTGGCTATGGCCTAAGTCCCGGCAATCTGGCCTCATTCTCAGTTGGGTCACCCCATCCACCTAGTAGTGCCCAGGGTGTGCATGCTTGAGCCCGAGGCACTTCTCTCTCTCTCTCTCTCTGTCTCCAGGCTTCATTTTTCCTTTGGGATTTGAGGCGATTGGGGTAATGCACAGTCGTCCAGACCGTTTCCAATCCACCCCACTGGCCACGCAGGTCGCAGCCCCTATTCTCCTAGTCGCACCCTGGTTTGCGAAGCCCTCCTCACGGGGCAAGCTGTCTTAACCCGGAGCTGGAGTCTCCCGATCCCCCATCCTGGCTGAGATCGCCCGAGGCTGTGGGGTCGAGCGGCGCCGGGAAGGAAGCTCGGTGGACGGAAGCTCGGTGGACGGGCTAATTAGGCACCCAACTTGGTGGCTGATGAAACCAGGAAGGGCTTTGGCCTTTGGAAAACGCATCCCATAAATGAGAATGGCTGGATTCCGGACTGGAATTAGGAGTTCGGGGCTAGGGAGGCCCAGCAGGATGGCAAAGGCGAAAACTGGGGAGGTTCTGGACACTCCTGGGGCTCAGCTCGCGAGTACATTGGTGGAGCAGCAAAAAATGGCCCCAGCTTCGGAGCAAGTCCCTGGGCTTGGATCTCGCTCGCGCTCGAGCTGGGAGATCTGAGACTCCTTGCCTGACGTCTGGGAGCTTCCACCCGACCGGGAAATGGAGTTTCTGGCACCCACCTCCAAAGTGGGTGTCAGTGCAGTGAGAACGTGAGACGAAAGTGCCAGTCCTCGGTAGATGTCTGGTGCCAATCTCCCCACCGCTCAGCCTCCTCAGCAAGTTCTCCTCCATTCCCTTCTGCCCGAGTTCCCAGGGTCACCGGGGCTTCTCATCGGAAAACAGACCTCCCAAAGGTATCATCATCAGTAGCCATTTAGGATTTATTTGTGCAATAAAAAGCGGAATTTAAGATCCATCTCAGCCTCCCCCACCCATTGCCGATTTTTTTTCTAATGGTTATGCCTCAAAACCCAAGTCTGACCCTGTTCTGTACCCAGTGGAAAGGAAAGCTGCAAAGCAAACGGGACTTGAATGAACCACCTTCCCCCTTCAAACCGAAAAGAGCATTTGTTTGGGGTCCATCTCCTTGGAAGGAGTTAGGAATGGTAAACGGAATGCGATTTGACACACTCCTGAAAAGGCAGCAGGCAGCCACCCCCATCCCCCCCAACCCAGGGAATGCATTTAGTTACAATCTCCATTTGCAAAGAGCTATAGGTCCCTTTCCTCCAGTTTTAAATCTGTTGCTGTTTTGGTTAACCGGGAGATTTCAAGTTCAAGATTTTCCTTTGATCATCTATAAACCTGCGGGATCCCTCAGCCCCTCCACTACTTCTAAGCTCATCTTTCACCAGAGTTTGAAAAAGGAATAGCAATTCCACTTCTTTTCCATGAGTAACACAAACTGCCAGAGGAAATGTTTCAAAGTATTTCGTTCGCTATTTTCAATCCACTCCCCAGGCTGAATCTGGGCACAAATCTTAATTGATTCACACTAATATCATAATAAAAACCACCGGCCCCCTCTTCCAGTCTTGATGGCTTTTTTTTTTTTTTTTTTTTTTTAGCTGAATCCAGCTACGAACAGAGAGCCCCCTTTAAAATAACTGTCTTTGGACAAACTTTACTGCAATAAAACAAATGTTTAATTTAATTCAGAATAAGAGATAAGAAATAACTCTTCAATAAAATATATAAAATTATACAAGGCACCCTTTCAAAGGGATAAAAGTATACTGGGTGGTGGGGGGTGGGGGGAGATGGAAAGAAAGATGAAATACCAGGGAGCTAAATGGGCTGTTTGACAACACCATTTTTAGCAAGTCAAAACATGGCTTTACCCTCTGCCCCCAACATGTTAAAAAGTATATAAATTTTTCTAATAAGTTTAGCACATACAATAGGTACACACACAGAGAAAGCATGATTTTTTTTTCTTTCTGGATCTATTCATTGTTTAAGAATATTTAGCATATAGGTAATGGTTACAATGTATTTATTTTTTTAAGCAGAGAATTAACTACACTCCCCGCCCCCCCATCACATTTGCAGTGTGTGAGGACTGACTTGTACCTAGTATTTCACAGAAACCATCAATTCCCCAGGCTTGCTTTAAACTTTTCACTCTCCAATTATCTGAAATGGAGTTAAGCAACAGCCTTGAGAGGAATTAGGAAGTACTTCCAGGTCCCACCTTACCCCCAAGGCATTCTCAGGATTCTTCTCATCACCCCTTTTATTGATCTTACCAAAAAAAAAAAAAAAAAAAGTTAAAACTTTAACAATCTGTAACAATGTGGACAGAAGGAAAAATATAGGGCCACATAGGGTAGTACCTAATGAGTTTTTTAATGCATGTAAAAATGCAAAAAACATGATGTGTCCTGGTCATTTTGAAGAATCTCTCCATCTCTACTTCCTATGCATCCTGTCTAATTCTAACCTTTGTTTTCCATAAGCAAAAGGCAATCATCCCATCAAAATCACCAAATGTCAGCAATTTTTGCAAATCATTGGTCTCTCCTATAAGAAAAAAAACAACTGGACTTAAGGCAGTCTCTTTTAGGAAGGTGATAGGTAGAAAAAAGTATACATATGTGCATATAAATTTTGCCTTTCAAAATAATCTGCATTTTTATGGCTGCTGTATAAAAATGTCATTATATTTTATTATATATATATTTATATATAAAAACCACCAAAGCCAATCTTTGTGGAAGGAGAAGGGGGCATGTAGAAGATCACACCAAGAAAATGGGGCTTGGTGCCTCCAGCCTAAACAACAAATTTGAACTAAGGCTGTGGCCATAGTTCTTAGGCCGCTTAGGGTGGCGCATGCATGCAGGTTTGCAGAGCAGGCCTACGGGCTTGGTACTGCCATTTGAAGGGGGGGGGCCACTTAAACAAACATCCATCATGGAGTCTATGGAGCCGGTGTTCCTTAGGATAGATGGTACATGCCATATCCGACTGGAGTCGCATAGAGTCCGACGGGCGGGATGGGGAGCACGGGTCTATGGAAAGGGTAGGAGGCTCCGTATATGGATGCTGCTTGCAGGGGTGAGTTGATGGGGAAAGGGAGGCTGAAGCCAGAGGGCAGCATAGGTTTTGCAGCCATTTTCAGCTTTTCTAGTTCGGCCTCCTGCAGTCTTTTCGCCTTGGCCCTTCGGTTCTGGAACCAGATTTTGACCTGGGTCTCTGTGAGGTTCAGAGAGCTGGAGAACTCTGCCCGCTCTGCAATGGAGAGGTACTGTTTCTGGCGGAACTTGCGCTCCAGAGCGAGGAGCTGGGACGTGGTAAAGGGCGTCCGAGGCTTCCGGTTGGTCTTGTGCTTGCGCAGGGTGCAGGTGGTGGGGCTCATGTGTCCTGGAGAACAGAGAGGGAGGGAATTAGCAAAAGAAGTGGCTTTCTCCCAGGTGTGCTGGCAAGGGCCTCCCTCTTCAGCTTTCAAAAAGAGACTTCCAGTCAAGTCCATATGGGAGGTGGGGTGGGGGGTGGGACAGGAGGAGCATATTTAAATGGCTAAATGGCTTTATTTAAGAAATTGAGTCTTTTTACAAAATGTTTGGGAGTTTCGCAGTGTATGGAACTTTCCATATGGGAAACAACAGCATTATGGATAATGGAACTAGAACAGCTATGAACCGACTTGAAGGGCGCTGGGAGCATTCGCTGAGAAATAAAACCCCATTTAAGTTCTCTGGTCTTTCAAATGGGGAACTGGGTTCCTGACAATCCTCGCTTCTCTAAGATGCTGAGATAAGCCCGTAAGAAGACAAGTAAAAAAGGGTCCTATTAAACTGGGTCAGTCCCCTCTCCACGTCAGGAAAAGTTGGAGTGCGCCAGCATATTTATGAAGGACAATCGTGCAGATAAAGGTCTGTGGTACATTAATAGCCATCTCCTGATCGGGAGCAGCCCCATGCAATAAACAACCGCACAGCTGTCATCCCATCCAGTCTACAGATTCTAAAACCTGAACATCATTTTACAGATCTGGATGTGGGAGAAGTTTCTTGGCCGGGTGCTTCTGTAAAAGTTTACTAAGAAGGAGGACAAAATCAGCTTGCTCAGAAATGTAAATGTCAGGGGAAATCAAGCTGCCTTGGAGCTGAGAGCATGTGATGACATTTTAGTCATCTCTAACCATTCTCTGGTTTAGAGCAAATGTGTAAATGATTAGTTTGTCACCAGAATTTAGAAAGAGGGAATAACAAGCAAAATAGAGGTATGCCAACCGCTTGCAGACCCCATATTTGAAATGGATTCGGTGAGAGGAAGTCATAGGACTGGGCATCCTTCTGATTCCACAACATCAACTAACTCGGGGGCTTCTTTTCCTCAAAGGGAAGCAGGGGCAGGAATGCAGAGCTGTGGGATAGAAGGCTCAACAATTAATTTTCTGCATTTGGCTTTTATGAGCTACGCTAATTTTCCAAAAGCAGCCACAATAGTAACTCCGCAGTACTCATGGGGAGAATGTCGCATTTCTTGTTTAGTTACTTCGACGGCCCAAGAAAGAGTTTACACTTCATACTTGAGGGTGACACAGTAAGTCCCACCCAGTCTCCATTTCCAACAAGAAAAGAGATTCCTCCTAGTGTGACATTATTAACCATCACTGTAGTGACTAAAAAGTTAAGAGGGAGTACCTTCTAGGAGTCGATCAAAAACAGAAACCTGAGAGAGGGATGGGGTGCACAGAAGTCTAGACTTTTGCATATGCTAATCCCTAAATAAGCCAGAGAGCTTGGGCACCTACTTCTTGATTTACACATAAAGTAACAACCCTGTCTGTTGACGACTCCCGGAGACCTGCTTCCACCCTTCACTAACCAGGCCTAGCGCGCTGTTTCAAGGCACAGATCAAGCTCCTAGTGTCTACACTGGATCCTGCTCGATGTTTGCAGGAACTCTGTGCCCTGAACGGTCACCCCGGCTGCTCCTAGAGGGTGCATTTGAACTAGGAAACCCAGGCTACAGAGATTACCCAAAATATCAAAGCCATAAAGCTAAGAGGCTTCCTCTCAACACTCCTCACCGTCCCCCCACCCCCACAACCATTTTAAATCAGTCAAAGAATGGATGCGATTGATTATACAAAGCAAAACAGCTTTCTCCAAATAACAAACCCGGCCAGACCAGTGGCTCCCTCCTGCCCCAGGCTCTGGTGCTAGGCGCTCCTTGGACCCACCATTCTAACCACAGGGCTTCTGCTGCCCTTTCGAGGCCCAAAGAGCTAATGAACCACTTTTTGTTTTAAAACTAAATCCCTTCTCCAGAATCTTGGATTTTTATCATGGGAAGGTCAAACCCAGGGTCCCCCAAGCACCTCCCCAAGTTCATCCTCCCTGTGGGAGGGAGGGGAGTGGTTTACAGAGCAAGAGGGGAATTGCCATCCCACAACCCGAAAGCCTAGGGAAGTGGGGATTTCTGACCTCTGGACACCGCTCCCTGAAAGACCCGAATCCTTGATGTGCTGATGGGCACATCATGGACAAATACTGACCCAGGCCTAGAAACACAGGTGCACTCAGTATTTGTCCAACAAATTAAGTTCCTTAAAGTTTCTGAGCCTCTATTTCACCATCAATAAAATGGGTAATACTGTGCTGTGTGGTCCAGAGTACTATATTTTAGAATACCCAGAGCCCTGTCTACCATCAGACAGGTGATCATTAAATATTGCCAAGGTGTTTTTGTTTTTGTTCTGGGAGTGGGGGTGGGAGGACTGTTCATCAAGCCCAAACTCAGTGTGTGCTGATTCCTCTGAACTCTTGGGAAACGTCCTAGTCTGTTACCAGGAGGCCAGCTGCTGCCACACGAGATCAGATAAGATAATATGGTGAAAAGTGCTATAAAGCACTGTGCAAACTTGAGTTTAAATTCTTTGAGTCCTTAATCTCCACACCCTTTGAATCTTTTGGAGTTTCTAACAGGGTGGAGAGCTATGCCTGAGGGGACAGCGACTGCCCCTGGGGTATATGGCCTTGTTTTGTTCACCAAATACTATGCAGCTCAGTCTTGAGGGCTGACCCAAGAAAATGAAGGAAGGTGTGTGGGTCTCCCAGCTTTGGTAAAGTCCCTGGGCAGACTCTTCTTTCACATGTTTTCTATAGGTGCAGTGGGGGTAGAGAAATCTTAAAGGCCAGGAGATAGAAATAGAAATAAAAGGGGCCATAGGTAATAATTTCTCCAAATTGCACACCCAGGCCCCAAAGTAAGTGCTAAAGCTGGAAGAGAATCAATTCTCCTGGGCCTGCATGCCATCCTGCTTCATTGGCAGGAAGCGGGGTGCTGGTGTGGGGACCTCTGCTTGGTTTCTCTGGGGATAGGGATCAAAGATGGTCAGGACAGCCTAGAGAGGAGCAGAGCTTGGACACCACGGCCCCTTGCCCAATTCAGCCATTATGGTGACCTGGGTCAAGCAACCTCTTCAAGTCCAGGTGTCTGCATAGGGAATAACCACTTCTCCTGTGCTTCTGCCTACACTTGAGGGTTCCAGTGATACTAGGATCTGGTGAACTAACGAGCATCATTTTGTAAACTCTCAAGCGCTTTTGGAATGCTGTTAATTATTACTATGAGCTGAGGGAACCGGCGCTCTCTTCTGACCCTAGCCCGCTCTGGGCGAAGATGCTGGCTGCCAGGACGACAGGGAGACAGTTCCTCCTGGCCTCAGTCTCTGCCGCCATCCCTTCATGGGATCCTACTGGAAACCCGCGGGACCCGGGGAAGATGATGATTTCTACCCAATACCGGGGGTTAGAATTCAGCTAGTCTTATCTGTAAGAGGGCCCATCTCGCTGGGCTGTGAACTCTGAAAGGAGGTAAGGCACCTCCGACTCTGCATGGCGTATATTCGAGTGCTCATTAAAAGTGGATCCCTCTTCACTCTCCAGACAGAAACCCGCCGGACGGCAAGACAAAAATAAGCAAAGTGGGTGGAGCGCGGGGCTGAGGGCTAGAGAAGCCGGTAACCGAGCGACCCGGCAAACCCAGCTGGGCTTCGCCCTTCGGAGACCCGCGAGTCCTCCACTGTGTCGGACACTTTGCACGGCTAGGGGATCCCGAACGCGCGCTGCGCGGACCTGACCCAGAGGGTGTCTTGGCTCCCGCCGGCTCGCGGAACGCTGGGGACATCAAGCCACGAATCGCCGGCTTGCTCTCCTGGGAGCAGAGTGCAGAGGGGTGTCCGTACCCCCCGGCCTGGAATACCGGCCCCCTAGTTCCCTCCAGAAATCCGCGGACCCGCCTGCCCCTTGTCCGGCCCAGACGCTCACTCACTTGGCGGCGGCGAGTATCTGCCGGGTTCCTGCATCCACGAGGCTCCGTCTTCTGAGTTTTCCGACTTGACCGAAGCGGTCTCGAAGGGCTTGACCAGCGGCCCGGGGCTGTGAGCTTCCCGGGCGCCGTGTCCGGGCAGCAGCAGTGGCCGCAGGGTGGCCCCGGCGGAGGCGCTTTCGGCTGGCAGTGGGGACGCCTCCTTGGGCGGCTTCTTGTCCGACATGAGCGCCTCCACGCTGAAGGGCAGGCTGGAGACCTTGACGCGGTGCTCCTCGGCGGCCCCCTCGGCTCCCCCGGTCCCAGGGCCCGGCCCAGCCACCACCGCCGGGCCCTCCTCATCAGACGAAAACAGGTCATTGCCTTTGGACGGAGAAGCCATGACTTCTCTGCCCTACGTAGCTCCGCGCGCACGACTCCGCTGGCAACCCGGCAGCAGCGACTCAAACTTTTTGGGGGGGAGACGGGAGGGGCGCGCCGGGAGCCGTGCCTTTCCTCCAAGGGGAAGTGGGAGACTCGGCTTAGCCAATCGGCGCCGGCTCTGGAGCTGACGCCACAGACGCTCGTCTCTGATTGGCTCTCCTGGAAGAGGCTGGGGCCTTTTTTTTTTTTTTCCTGTTTGAAATAAATTAGGAGTTAATTACAGGAGCAGTCAGCAGAGTTGTTATTAGGCGATCCCTCAAGGGTTATAATCACGCCAAAACTGAAAAGTCCATGGCGTAATTAAGGCCGATTATTTAAAGAGGAAGTTCGCCGAGTCCCATTTCTTCTCTCTTTTGACCCCTTTTTAAAAAGGCACCTCGCGCCCATCCCACTTCCCCCAGCCCCAATCGCCAGAACACGTTTAAAATCTGCAACTGACGTTGCAAAAAACATTTGTGAAGCTTCTGCTATACGTGGAAACTGGGCTGACTTTACAACTTAGGAGTCAGCACTGAAAACGCGGGCCAGCATCCCTGCTAAAAGCAGTAACACATCCATGAAGCTTATAAGAGTATTTGGCCGCTGGCAAAAGTTCTACAAGGAAAGCTATTACCCCTAGAAGAAGAAGGGACGGAGAGTGCCCAAGAGGTGGTCAGGAGGGGCTGGTCTTTCAGAGTTCCGACTGGAAGATTTAAAGCAGTGGCCCCTATCCCTTCCACTCGAAACAAAACCAGCGTACTCTTAGAAAAGCCAATCCGCATGTTTTCTTTCCCTTAAATCTCCTCTCTGGGCGACACCCGGATCCGACCTTTTTCTCAGGACTACGTGTATTGTGTGTTCCTGCGTTTGTTTGAGCCTATGTTTGTCATGTGTTTGGGTGCCAGTGTTTGCCTTCAAGGGGGAGGAGGAAGGAAAAGGCGCCGGTAATACCTAGTGCTTCCCTTCCTCTTGCAAATCTCAGAAATACCGGGTTCTGAGTTTGCACACCCAAGGCCTGTATACACTTTTGAGAAGCACATTTTTATTCATTGCACCTGGTTTAAAAAGAAAAAAAAAAGGCATAGATATCCCCACCCCGCCCCAAATTATACCCTGGGTAATTACATCTCAAAGCCTTAGTGATGACTGTACCAGCCCAGGGACAGGGGAGAGGGAGCTACGGGTGCGCAGAGGCCTTGGATCTCTCCGCAGGCCGCCAGGCCAAGACCAAAGTGCTTCAAATGACCCTGTCCAGGCTGCATCTGCTCTCCCGTATATCTCAACGATTAACCCTGAACGATGAGATAAATAGAAGTCTCCGAGTTCGGCCTCGCACACATCAGATGCTTACTAAACAGTTCCCAGAGCCTTGGAAGGAAGGGACATTGTTTTTAATTACTGAAATGATAAAGGCTTGGAGGCTACCTCCCAGTTCAAAAGTCTTAGAAACTTGACCCCCGGACCGATCACCATGATGCACTTTCCTTCACCCTAAACTCCTGTGTGGAGTGAAACTCTGCGGGTTGAGGATACCCTGAATAGGCATGATCTGAATCTTAGGGGGTAAAAACGATCTGCACTGCCCAATTAATTCAGTTTGATTAGAAATGGTTCTGAAAAAGTTAAAAAGTGAAGAAGTTCTAAACACAGTCTTCTAAAACCTCTGGGTCTCTCTCCCACCAAGCACATCCCCCCCCACAACCCCCAACAACTTGGAAGCTCAGAGAAAGTTAAAAAAAAAAAAATTAAACTATCTGGAGATGCATGCATTTTCCCCTTGAGTCATACTTGATGATAGTTGGCTTGATATGCATCTCAAATACAGTACAGGTAAATCCAGATTAAGCCCTGTGCCTTCTGAGGTACCCAGCAAGGTGCAGGCTATATATTTTGGAAGCAAACCTAAAATTCGTTTAGCCTTAAGCTGCCAAAGTGTACAAAAGGGTTCAACTTTCAGTTGGGCTGTACCCAGCTGCTGTTTTATAATTGTTCCTGAAAACTCACTGTTAATATTTGCTAGTTTAGGGGCACACAGGCTCATTCCTGGGAAATTTTTAAAAATACATACTACTAGAGCTTTTTTTGTTTTGTTTTAATGAACTGTTCTGGGACAGGAGAAGCCAGGTTCCCCCTCACTACTTTCAGGTCCCGACGTCCAGATAGAGAAAGAAAATTCAGAAGCTAGAAGGAGGAAAATAGTAGAGACAAAACAAACAAACTGGTGTTCAAAACAGGGATGCCAAGCTCTGGCTATAAAATGAGCAGGAGAGATGCCCAGAGGGCAATCAGCCTGCCCACCTTTTCCTCTACCTTCTCCATTCCCAGCTCCCTGCTCTGGTAGGAAAATTCAGGAAAGGGTATCAGTTCTGCTGGAAAAAAGGTCGACCCTCAACAGAACCCTAGCCCTTTATGGAAAGCCTCATCTGTGCATTTGCTTTTGCGCTGGCTGTGTTTTCTGGACATTTTATTCCCCTCTTCCTGGCCGCGGGACCTTAGTCGCGTTACTTTGCCTCTCTCAAACTGCTTTTTTATTTCTAAAATGAGAGATAATAATCCTTACCTGGCATGGCTCTTGTAGTAATTAAATTCAATAGGCTACGGAAAGTAACTAGGTGTAGAGGATCAATTAAAAAAATACTATATATCAAAAGCAGGAGCAGTGTATCGCAAGCTTTCTCTCTGCTGGATATCCAAAATCAGGCTCTTCGCCAGCCTTCACGGAGTTCACGATAGGTTCTTCCTAAAATCTCCGGGGCTGAGAATTTTGCGCAGTCTTAAAAGTGCGCGGTGGAGGTGTCGTCCCTTGGCGGAGGACTGACTTTGGCGCTTAGGGGAAGACTTACTAAGGTTTGTTTCCAGTGACGTTGACGTAGCTGCAGTGCTTGTAGGAAGAACAGTGGGGTTTCAGATGGAACCCCAGCGCGAAACGTCAACTCTTAAAGATACTTTATAGTACCTGTCCCCCCAGGATCTCATTTGTTTCTTCCAACACACTGCTCCGGACGGATATTATTTTCCCCATTTTACAGGGAAAAGCACTGAGTATGCTACCCAAAGTGACGCAGGTTGGAAGTGGAGGGCCCGGGATCCCACGCGCAGCACGTGGCCGCACCTCACAGACCCTCATCCTTCCACAGTCATGCGTTCCCGCGGGGATTTCGCTTGTACCAGGGCCCTGCACCGAACAGCCGCGCACGCGCACCGCAGGTCCCAATGCAAAAACACTACTTGCAGACTGTGGCGGGCCGGGCGCGGACCCTAGCGTTTGCAAGCCCCAGGACCGATCGCAGGATCCCCGCGGCAGGGCGGGGGCGGGGGAGGGGGCGGAGGAGGGGGGCTGTAGACAGGCCAGGGCTGCGGGCAGGCGCCAGGCGCGGGGAGATGAAAGGCGGGCTCCAGGGGAAGGGGCTGCGCCGGGTGACCGGCTCCAGCCGCGCCGGGCGCCCCGCCCCCGCCCCGCCCCGCCCCCGCTGCCCCGGGCAGAGGCGGCTGCCCGCGCCGGAGCCGCGTTAATTGCTCTCGGCCCCGGCACTCAGCCTGCGCGGAGCCGGGACAACCTCGCTCCAGGAGGAATGACAATTCGCCCTAATGGGACAACCTCGCTCCCAGAGGAGTGACAATTCCTCCTAATGGGCCTCTCGTTAGCTGCCTATTCTTCCGAACCCGGTATCAGAAGCCGGCAGACAAGCGGGCGCCAATGTCCGCCTGGAATTCCACAGTGCGTCTCCCCCATCGCCCCCACTCTCCCAGGCAATTGCTGTGTGACCTCGGGAAAAGGCTGATCCTCTCTGAGCTCGTGTCTTACCTGTGCGGTGGGAAGTGTGTTTCCAGGCATTTAAGAGATCACTTTCAGTTACAGAGCGGGAAGAGGGGTAACTGGCATTCAGGGTTGCTGCTTGAAGTTGTTGGTGAGGGAGAGAGGGGTACAAATCCCATGCTTTAGAAGTTCTGGACGCTCAAACCGGTTTTCCGGGGCCCCCGCCCCCTGAGATCCCGACCTGGGCTCCAGCCGGGGCTGGAGAAAAGGGTCCTTTGCCAAAGTGCTCTGCAGATTGCGCAAGGCTGCCTGAAGCCCAAACTTTCATTGGTTTCCCATTTTACAGATGAAGAAGTCGAAGCGCAGACAGAAGGAGGCTGGCCTGAGATCTGGTGTGGGAGGAGGAGCCTAATTCGACCCGGGACCCTGGAAGAAGCCCATAATGAGGATGTCTCTGGCCTGTGGCCAGGTTGGGGGGGAGAGGGCGAGAAAAAATCGCAGTAGCCACCTAAGGTGCCACTTTTCGGCCCCACAAGCCTGGAGAGGGATGGGCCAGGCCATGGAGACTTCCAGCGGTTTGTCCGCGTCTCAGGTGTGAGGGTTGTTCCATTCCTTCTCTAGCTCTAGATTCAAATCCACGCCCTGCTTCTTGCCATTTGCCATCCAGCTGGGCCTCGGTAACCTCTTTCAGAAGAGGCATCCTAGCGGGCAGCTCACAGGGTTGCTGCTGGTGAGGACTAGGTGAGAAGACTTAGCAGAAAAACAAGTAGTACGGAGTGTGGCTGCAGCAGGCACCACACTCACAAGGGTCTGTAGTAATTCTGCCTCGAATCCTGGAGCTGCCCTGGCTTTAAACAGTGTTGAACCCTGTATTTCTTGTGCAATTTGGGATAAATCCCTTCATCTCCTTGGTTTTCTCATCTGTACTATGGAAATGCCTAGCATTCAGTGAGTGTTGGATATTACCATTTCTTAAGTCATTAGCGGTATTTTTGACTCCTATTCAATAGATTGAATAGATCCAATGACCCAGTGCGGGAGGATAAGAGGCCATGAATCTGCAACTTTTTCCAGCTTTGTCCCTGCACCCCCATCCCAACTGGTAAAATGGGAATAGCTACCCACCTCTTCCAAAGGAAGCAGATTGGCAACTCTGGAGTGAGGGGTAGGAATTGAGGGAAGAAGAAACCCTTTAAACCTCTGAGTCACTTCTGTTTCCCAGTCCTATGGTACTGGGTACTGGTGCTTGCTGGCACCTTCCCAACCCATGCTCCAACCAGAGGAAGATTCCCAGGAGC